GATTATGTCCAAAAGATTCTCTCATGATACTAGTGATTTGTTCCAACAAGATCTCATCTTATCCTTTTGTTATGAAACAGCTCCAAATTCGAATTCAAATTCGAATTCAAATATTTGAATTCAAACATTCAAATTCAAATGTTCAAAATTCAAATTCAAAATTCAAATTCAAAATTCAAATTTCAAATTCCAAAATTCAAATTTCAAAATTCAAATTTAAAATTCGAATTTCAAATTTCAAATTTCAAATTCAAAATTCAAAATTTAAATGTTTGATAATTAATTTAACTAATCAAATTAATTAGTAATGTCTTGGACTATCCAAGCCCATTACAATGATCCATGTGCCCTCCACCCCTTTAGGTGGAGTTCCAAACAACTTCTTGGGCTAATAACTATTATTAGGCCCAATATCTTTAATGCTAGAGCATCTAGACAATTAGGTGTTTGTGTGTGACCCATTAGGTCCGACTTAGCCACTGACATAACTATTGTTGGTCCTTGTGTGTGCCACCCATTGGTTATTAGGTACATTTGAGGTGTTAGAAGCATTTGCAAATTTGGGGATTTTAGGAAAAAAAAAGAAAACTCTGGCGAATTTTCTGTAGAATTGGCAGAATTCAGGTGAACTTCAGGAGAGCATATCTCCCTCCATAGAGGTCCGATAGGGACGTTCCATATGCCATTTTGAAGCTTGATATGTCCCCTACATTGTGTCAAAATATGAGAATATTCTGGGTTGCACGCAGCCCTGTAGAAGCCTGTGAACACGGACTGTCCAGAACGCTTCTATGCAGGGGCTGTTTCTGGCAGTTTTTGGGAATTTTATTCCCGCTTCGTTTCTCAGTCAAATTAAGCGTATGATATATCAAATTGAAGGTTTAGATGTCTAGTTTGTGGTGTAAGAATTTGAGAGCAATTGGATGAGTGGATTTTCTGCAGTAATTCATGAAGTGAGAGAAGTTTAGAGCTGTTTTGGAGTTGGCTGGCAGTTTTGCTTGTCCAACTTTAAGCGGCGATAGCCGGAGCAAACGAGCTCCAAATAAAGCGTGCAATAGCTTCCTAGAAAGGTAATTAAGTAAGAAAAAAAAGATAGCTAGAAAGGAATGAAATTAAAATGGCCTTGAAGGCCGTAGCATGTGAAAGGGAAAAAAAAAATTTTCATATGCGGAATTACACATGCAATCAAGAATCATGCTTTATGGCATGTGATGTTATCTTTGTTTGTGAGTTCAAAACTCCAAGACGATCAGTGTTAGGTTTGAAGGGTTCAAACCCTCTAACGTTGATCAACACCACCCACGTCAAGATGCAAGAACACTTTCTTGAAAGCCACCAATTGACCACCCAAAAGAGGCTTGCTATGCGCTCAATAGGCGAAGAAGGAGGCTAGATATATGTGTTTAGAAGAGTGAAGTCTCCAGCATGAAAACTTCACAAGAGTGGGAATGGTATATAGAAGAATTGGCTAGGTTCTTTTGAAAAACCTTAAGGAGGAACTCACCAACTAGGCGTACAAGAGAGGGAGAGAATTAGTGTATCAAATCAGAATTTTACTTTTTTTTTTTTTTTTTTGATAACAATCAGAATTTTACTTTACTTATAATGAAAGTGGCGCACAAGTGAGTGAGACAAAGGTGGAGTTGTTGCAATTCAAAAATCCCAACAACCTCCCCTTTGAATCCTCATAAGACTAGGTCTTTATCTAGTCAAAATTCTGAACCAATGGTCATCATATGACCACCAATTCATGCGCCCCTATTCAGCCCAAAAAGGGTCCAGATACATTTGAGCTGTTGCATTCAAGTTTGAACCAACTAGCTCACTGATTCTCTCAACAACCAAATCTGATTGGAGCTTGTTGGTTTGACAAGATGACAATCATCTCCCACCAAAATGGCACCCCAAATCAGCCCTTGGAGATCTCCATAGATCTTCTCTTGATACAAGGGATTTGTTCCAACAAGATCTCATCTGATCCTTTTGTTATGAAACAACTTTTCATAGCCAATTCAAATTCAAATTCAAACATTTAAATTCAAACGTTCAAACATTTAAATTCTAAATTCAAATTCAAATTTCCAATTCAAAATTCAAATTTCAAATTTCAAATTCGAATTTCAAAATTCAAAATTCAAAATTCAAAATTCAAAATTCAAATTCAAAATTCAAAATCAAAATTCAAATTTCAAATTCAAAATTCAAAATTTAAATAATATTTATATTTGATAATTAATTTAACTAATTAAATTAATTAGTAATGTCTTGGACCATCCAAGCCCATTAACAATACCATGTGCCCTCTCCCTCTTATGTGGGCTTCCAAACTTCATCTTGGGCTAACAACCATTATTAGGCCCAATACCTTTAATGCTATATCATCATGACATTAAGGTGTTAGTGTGTGACCCATTAGGTCCAATATAGTCACTGACATAAATGGGCTCGGGCCCAACAAGCACACAACCCATTTAATGACAACACAGAGCACTAGCAATGCTTTGTTGCCCCAGAACTAGTTAGATTAATGATTTGATCATCCTATTAAACATATTTGGTTGCCGTATGTTTGTCCCTTCGTCTCATTTACCTTCCCATAAAACCTAGGGTAAGGAAACGCATCAACCCTTGCGGTTTAGGGTTAGCTTTTATGAAATAGGGAGTCTTCAATTTACTGACTCTAAAGGCAGATCATCTTATGATCTCTTTTACTATGCATAGATTCTCGAGTCACAGTAAATGTCATCCCGATTTCTCCGGTTTAAGGATAACCTAATCTCTCACAGAGATTTGACGAATTCCTTCAGCTTATTACCCTAGCTCTGTGCCCTATCAGGATAAGCCCAAGAGCATACCTATGAGTCTCCATGTTTCAGGCAGACGAGGTATACAATCAAGGCATGCCTTCTAGAACACAGTCTAAGTGATAACTTCTGGTATGAGGAAAGACATACCCAAATATATAGAGATTACTCTAATGATACTATTTGTAAGATTTCCTCATAGAGTCTCTTTGAGGGTCTGTTCAGTGCGAGTTATACCCTTATAGGTCCACCCACGACTTTAGCTAAGACATCTCCATATCTGTAGCACATGAGGTCTATACCTTGTATCCATATACAAGTAGATAAGTCGTGCTAGTCTTACCCGAGATTACTGACCCCATTCTCAGTATCTCTAGACTAGGAACATAAAATTAGGAATAAACATCCGGTATTCTTGAATTCCCATGATTGTGATCTCATCACAGATACTCAAGAGATACTTATTTTATTCCACGGGGTTTATCAAGTTATTCATAATATATTAACATTAGTATCGAGACATAATTATGAAACAAGATAAAGAGTGCTTTTATTTATTTGCGACAATATTAAAAAGGTCTACATCTATGTCCTTATTTAATCATAAGATTGTCTCTAGGACACCCAAATACTAACACAAGGCCATGTTTTATTGTTTATTTTATGTATGGGCTGAAGCGATGAAACCCTAGCCGTTCTGAATGACGACTATTTAAGGGAGACTTTAGGAAACCCTTCAGCAGTCAGTTTTTGGGAGTTATACGACAGACAAGTTTTTCTCTGAGTTTTAATTCAATTATGTTCTTCTTCTTCATCTTCTGTTCTTATTCTTTTTTTTTTTTTTTTATTATGTTTACCTTAGCCATGCGAGGCTAAGAACCTTTTAATCAACCTAAGGGTAACGGATTCCATGGATTAGTCTTGAGGGTCTGTGTTTTATTTTAAATCAGTTTCGTTTCCCTTCCTAACTCAGATTGATATCGTGTGATCGTGGATATTCAATCTGAGGTTCGCGATTGCGATTATGGAAAGGGATTAATCATCAGATTTGATGATTAGGTTGATTGACCCTATGACCTTAAATCAAACGGGCTGATACTCTGTGATTGTATGAGTAGAAGCACCGTATTTGATCAAATGCTAAGCGATCGCTTAGAGAGGGTTGTCAATTGGAAATAAGGATTCTGATTCAATTGACAATCAATCACGATTTTGATATCTTTTTATCTGAGGAAAGACGTCCATGGAACCCTAACCTTAGGTTGGTTAATTTTTAATTACGAATTTTACTTCCAATTTTATATTTTTCCTTTTTAATTATTCAACCAAAATTCAAAACCCCCCTTTTAATTTTCTGTCATCATAAGCGATTTTTACCAAAACAATTTCCTTGAGAGACGACTTAGGGTTTCCACTTTACTGCAAATTTTTTGAAGCCTAAAAAAAATATTTTAATTTGCGCGAGTTTGACAGCTCGTGTTATAGAGATGGTAAACTGAGCTCGACCCGGAGGGCTGACCCACTAACTTATTTTTGTAACTAAATTAAAATTTCATACTTCCTCTTTTATAATTATATTTCTAAATCTGATTTCAATTTTTGTAAATACAAATTTGTAAAATTCAAAATACTAAGGACACAAATCCTTGCAAAAAAAATAATTATTTATTATTATTTTGTAATTTTGATTGTTATAAGTGAATATCTATCTCTGAGATAAAATATAAAAACTTTGATGCGACTATAAGAATTTTTTTATGTGATAAATATAAAACTTATCACTTTCTGGTATATAAAGAAGACAATTAGAGGTTGCAAACTGGACTCAGTCCGAAGGACCGTCCTGCTAACATTTTTTTATAATTAAATTAAAATTTCGCCCTTCTTCTTTTATAATTAAATTTCTATTTCTTATTTTAATTTTTGTACTATTGATGTTTTTTACGAGCTTTCAAAAATTTTCTTTGACACGAAGAAAGTAGGCACCTGGGGCTTCACGTACATATAAAATATAGTTATTCGGAATTCTGTAGCTTCCGAAACAGAACTCGCAAAGTACTCGATAAATTAGTGAAATTTTCCAAAAACCTCCTGACTTGCAAAATTTATATTAAATCAGGCTTACAAGCTTTTGACATAAACTTTATATAATTTGAAAATAGACAACTGGGGCTTTACGTACATATGAATTATACCTCATTCGGAGATCTGTAGCCCCAGAAATAGAACTCGCAAGGTGCTCGCTAAATCAGTTCAAAAATCCGAATCCAATTACAACAGAAATTGTTTTGACAATTTAAAGACTAGAATAACGTAAGTTTCAGAAGAAATATAAAAATTATCCTACAACCCTTTTCAAAACAGAATATAAATCATAACATGCCATTCTTCAAAGTGCTACATCAAGGTTGAATATTCAATACACGTCCAACAGAAACGGCGAATAATAGCAGTAATTCCCAAACAGAAGAACATCAACAAAATACTTCCAAGGACATACTTTATCAAATATTTCTTCGTCCTCCTGCAATTTTATAAAAATTGAGCCCTAGAAGAGGTGAGAAAAATCCCAGTAGTGTGGCAAAAAATCCAGCAATGCAACAATGTCAACTTAAATACCGAATTTCCAAAATTGTCACATCATCAAATAGTTCCAGAACAGATTTCAAGATATAATCAGAATGTGTATATAACGCCAGAATACTAATCAGAATGCGTATATAACGCCAGAATAATGTACGTTCATAGCACTGCAGTGCACGTACTAACTAACTAACACAGTGGAGATTCCATTTGGCCCATTAGAGGGGAATTGCAACTGCGACCTATGCGAACTGAGCCACGGTTCCTTCTCCCTGGTACCTGAGGGATGCCTATATGATGCGTGCTCAAACATATGCTTACTCGTATCAAATACTTCGGTTTCCAAAATTGAATGCTTGATGCTATATGCTATGATATGTTTTGCTTCGCACACACATGACCAAATGCAATTTTTATGATGTTCATGAGCATGACTAAATATCAGAATCAGAGAGTCATAGTTTACAGAATATGGCCACATAAATTCGAAGTATAATATATTTCCAAGACTGAATTTCCAATAATTCATAATCCAAATCAAGTTATCATTACCTTCAAGCAGAATCAAAATGCGACACATGTGCAACAAATCAAAAATCCAAGCACTAAATTAACAGTCACAAAGGGGTAATCTACTGAACACTTACCTTGGAGCTTTAACTTATAAATCAACATCACCATTTCAGCCCACTTTCCTAGAGTTTCACGGACCTAGACAGCAGAAATACCAAATCAGAATTTTTATGCCCTTTTTCCAATACATCATACGTAATTTCGTTTCTTCAAATTCAAGGGCCTTAAGCAGAATTCATGTTGCCATTACAATGTACTTTTATTTCTGACTTAAATTGTATATACCAATTATTATCAAGAGACAAACCCAAGATTTCTTATACATGTAGGTTCAGTTTTAATCATCAATAGATGCTCATCAATTCATCATTTACATAGTATGTCCTACACGGTTTAGGATTGCGCAAGGATGCATACGGCACGCTGCCTACAAGGCTATAAACATATGCAAAGTTTGATTCGAATTGGATATCAAGGTTCTTATGCTAATTTAATTTTTTGGCCTAAAGTTTATTTTACCAATTGCTAGCAAACGACAAAATCTCAAGGTTCCTATGCATACAGATTCGGCTTTATGACTATCACCTAAGGGATCCCAATTTTTCTTTAACATAATCCTACCTACATCACATGGCATGGTTACTTAAATTCTTAGCATGCTGCACCCTACGATTTCCACCCATGCAAGACTGTATATTTATTTTTCTAACTAAAAGGGCAGTCCAACAATTTAAATGGGGCTATTTCCAATCTCACAAAATTTCAGTTTAAGCTTACATGCATTAAATGCTAGGGCTGTCCAAAATGACAGAATTAAAGGAAGGAAAATGACCAAAATAAAATATCCTCCTAACCACGCATGAGAGGACCGAATGGTGAGGGCAAAAGGGTAGGAATTACAAGAACTATTTCCCTAAACTACACATGCAAATCGAACACTGAGGTAGAGGGAAGCTTGAGGTCCGAATTTTACCTTCCTCCAAGCCTCAAAGGGTTAGCTATACGGGTGGAGGGCAGCAACCTCACTTTTTAATGTTCTAAGAATCAAAACCAGCTGCATGCAATGGGAGGAGCGACTCCATCAAGGCAGAACCATGTTCCAATAAGGGAAAAGCTTACTCAGAAATCGGTCCAAGTAGGAGGGAACAAGAAGGCAGCGAAAAATACCTTACCTTCTCCTACTTGAAGTGAGTTGTGCGCACAAGAGGAGGGGAAAGGATGTCGAGCTAGGGCTTCAACCTCCTTGCTTATTGTTACACGACTGAACTAGAAAGGAGAGGATGAGTATGCTTGGTGTTTTGGTACCTCCTTAGGGCACTCACGGTTTGTGGGGGATATGATGTGGAAAAGGATGCACGTATTTTTTTGTGGTGTTCATCTAGGAGAGCTTACGGTTGTGAGGGAGAGCATGCAGGGAGCTAAGTGTGATTTTGAATCAAAGATTACCAATCTGTTTTCTTGAGTGGTCCTTTGCTATGCGCATGGGAAGCTAGGGAACAAAATGTGGCTGGGTTTGATTCAAAAAAAATGAGGATAAGAGGTCATAATTCTGACCCAAAAATACAAGTAACAAAATAATAATAAGATTTCTTTTTATCCTCACTAGGGGAGGGGAGGGCTGATTAGCCTTTGGACACAATGATAAACATGCAGTTTACTTTCTCTCTTCATAAGGTGCATGGAATGGGAAGATAAAGATGGATAGACATTGCCATGTGGCCACTTCTTGACCAATAAAGAATAACCATGCAGATTTCACTTGAATAATGAGGAGATAAGATTATGGATCAAGGGCTGAACTTAAGTCCTACTCAAGGACACTTGGGCCGCCGCCCCACAAGGAAATGGGTCCAAAAGTGAATATCCAGAAAGGCTCACCTATCTCATGTACAACCTTCTACTTATTATTTCATATATCTTCTAAATATTAATTAAGGCTTTCATACATTATGATTAAATTACTCCTATCCTTTTTAACTGGAGTTTTGAATTCTTAAAATATACATGTATACACTCACTTATAAATGCAATTAAAATAATTTTCCTAGCATAATTTTAATTCCACCCGAACTATATATTGAAATCAACTTCAAAGCATGATTCCCCATTCCTAATTGCACTTTATATATAAGTTCGTAATTATGCGGGATGTTACAGCGGTATAGTTGCACTGTAAAGCGTGTCGATTGAGTTTTGAGCTCTAGGTTTTAAATGAGTTATAAATGGTCTATAGAACTAGGAAATATGATTTCTGATAAAATTTGATGGAAGTAAGTTAGTTTGGGGAAGTGTGCCAACAGCGCGCGCAATAGCTTAAAACTGCAGTATTTCCAAATAACCGGAAAACTCAAGATTCATCTGATCAAGTATAATTAAAGGACAATGGTTAATGTTAAAAATTAGAGTTTCTAAATAGGTTGTGAATTTACGGACGTTTAGTGGATTAAACGAGAGTTAAATCAGTTTGAAAACGCGTGAGGTGGCGGTGGGACCCACCCCCACTTAAACCACTTAAGCCACATAAGCCTAAGACACTATTCATCATCACTTCCTCCTCTCCTCCAAGCCAAACCCGCGGCTCCCCTTCCCCATTACACATTTCCCTTTCAAATTTTCTTTTCCTTATAACTCCACCAAATGCTAACCAAATCCAACAAAGTTTAACTTGAATTTTGTTGGAAATTATCTTCTAAAGCCATTGGTGGTACCCTTGGACCATGAAAGCGACGAGATTTTGAGGTATTCCTCCCCAAAGGCCACGACTCACATAGGTAGATTTGTGTTCATGGAGCTTCTAGATGCTCCAATGGTGGAGTATGTTTAGGAGGAGTCTTGTGCCAAGCAATTGGGTGAGTTTCCTTGCATTTTAACTACTTTTTCTTGTGATTGATTTCATGAACCCTAAAGGGGGATTTTGTGATCGATGTGTTTAGAGAGCTCAATTGGAAAATGTGTATTAGATGATAATGTCTTAGAATGATGTGTTAGAGCTAGAAATGCCATGAAAATATTGATGAAATTTGGGAAATTTTAACATAGAAATTTTTAGGGTGTCATGACTTTGAGTTTTGAAAATGTGTTAGGATTGGATTGGTGAGTTGTTGTATGATAATATGTTGATATAATGGGATTGTGTAAGGTGTAGAGTGGTTAAAATTGAATGAAAATCCTTTGGAATGACATAAGTGACAATTTGGCCATTTAGGGAATTTTAGGGACTTGATGTTGTTGGTATTGCTTGGATGATGTATCATGTGTTAAATGGTATTTAGATGAGTTGTGTGGTGGTTGGAAGGTTCGAGAATCAATGAAAAATAATAAATGATGTTGAGAGTCATAAAGGATCCTAGAGTGAAATATTAAGCAAAATGACATTTAAAAGACGTAAAATGAGAAACGGCATTTGATATGGCCTTTTGGCAACCTAAGGATGCTTAGAAAAATGAGAAATAAAATTTAGAAAAATAAATCTCAAAATTGCACTACTTTGGCTGAACCTACAAGGGTGCAGGGGAGGTTTTTGACATTTTTCGCGTTTTGATAGAATTGTCGTTTACGGACGATTCGTACATGGTTATTGTAGGTTGTCGTACGTTGATTTGAACCCCGAACCGTGGGTCGGTGGATTGCCCTTGGTCCTGGACCAAGTGGGATTGAGGTAAGTGATTGAATCATGCTTGTATAATTGGTAACTGACATGTGTCTGTATGAGTTTTGAGTAATTGGGAATGTCCTCTTTGTAGGCATTCTGTTGAGTAACGAGCTCGGAGAGTATACTGCTGTGGAGCTAAGTGAAGAGGCTTATTAAGGTAACCTCTTGGTACTGGGGCTTGATCCCCTTGTGTGTTCCACCATACCCGTTGAGGGTGATGGTAGGAAATGTATATGAGTAGTGTAGAATAACATGATCATGCTTGTAGTATGTATGTTGGTACGTAGGTACCGAGTCTCTGGCCAGTAGACAGTATTGCCTTCGGGCGTTTTGGACTTCCACTGGATAGGTCTCCGAGAGGGAGTTCTAGTTGACCCAGGGTCGTGGTGTGTGATTCGGACAGGAGCACACTAGGAAGTCTCGGGTGTATGCGGATGGGAGGGGTACCTTGGTTGGATGTTCTTGGAACACGCTTTGGATGAGACCCATAGGCTTATATGCCGAGCCATTAGGCAGGGCGTTGCGTGCTATTGGTAGCTACCATTCCAGCTTCGTCGTATTTTGTATCCCTATATTTCCCAGTTTCTCTAAATCCCTTTCTATATCCCGTTTTTCAAGATGTTATTGTATATTATTTATATGCATCGAAGTGAGCCATTGGGCGGAATTTTCTCCAGAACCTATGGGTTACTGAGATATATTCGTATATCTCATCTCGTCTTGGGGGCTTTATTTCAGAAGGTAGCAGTGGCACAGGAGCGGCAGGCAAGAGGCTCGTAGGATGAGTGTTGGAGGGCATTTTTATGTTTTGCATTTTGATGGCCATTGGGCCTAGGCTAGACTTAGGGAATGAACATTCCATATGTATGTAGGAGGAGATTTATAGTCATATTTGTTCATGCTATTTTTGCCTAAGTCTAGGTACATGTTGTATATGTCATTTTAAGCTTTATGTTTCAAGTTGTAATTTAAAGTTATGAATTTATAAGTTGTAATATGTAATTGAGATGTTGTAATTGTACCATGAATACTTGATGTAATATGATGGAAGAGCTTTAGGCTTATTTTAGGATTATGATTATGTGTATGTTTAGAAAATGCATGTAAATGGACATTGGTGATTGAAATAAGTAAAGGATTAATAAAGTGAGTAATATGGTATGAATTGTGTAATAACTATAAAATGAATTGGGTTGTAACTGCCCCAAGGCATTGTTGGTCCTTGTGTGTGCCACCCATTGGTTATTAGGTACATTTGAGGTATTAGAAAGCATTTGCAAACTTTGGGATTTTTGTAAAAACAAAGGAAACTCTGGCAAACTTTTTGTAGAATTGGCAAAATTTAGGCGAACTTCGGGACAACATATCTCCCTCCACCAAGGTCCGATAGTGACGTTCCATACTCCATTTTGAATATTGAGATATCCTCTATCTTGTGGTAAAATTTGATAGAATTATGGGTTGAACGCCGGTCTGGAGAAGGAAGAGAGTGCAGACTGCCCATTTTCTCACTGCACACATGGCAGTTCTGGACCAGTTTTGGGAAATTTATTCCCGCTTCGTTTCTTAGTCAAATTAAGTGTATGATATGTAAAATTAAATATTGAGGTGTCTAGTTTGTGGTATAAAAATTTGAGAGAAATTGGTTGAGTGAATTTTCTGCAGTAATTCGTGGAGTGAGGGATGTTTTGGAGCTGTTTTGGGGTTGGCTGGCAGCTTTGCTTGTCCAACTTCAAACGGCGATATCCGGAGCAAACGAGATCGAAATAACTTGTGTGATAGCTTCCTAGAAAGGTAATTGAGTTTAGAATAACATATCAAAATATGGCAGGCTTTTAGAATGCATTTTGTCCGCAGAAAAATAAAGACCGAACCATGTTCGGATAGGTAGAAAACGTAAAATGGTGAAATTAGCTAAGTGGGTTTATGGGAACCCCTTAGTGACTTGTATTAAGTAAAATAAGATATAAAAATATTTTAAACAAGTATTCTGCAAGATTTTACAGTTATGGTCACAGCTTTTATTTATTACGCTTTTTACGGTTTTAAATGCTCGCGTAATAAACGGAAAAAGTTTACTCGCATTTTTAATAAAGGAATTGCTGTGATTGTAACTGCGCTTAATATCATAATTAATGTTAACAATACCGGTGTACAATGGGATGTTACATTTTACCGGTGCGTTGATTAACCAACGACAGCGACAACAATTTCATTCTTTTTCCCCCGGGCATCACACAGGTAATTCACTAGTTATATATAAAAATGAGGTCTATTCTTTGAAAAGTTTGTCGATGGATCGATCTCTCCTTCAATAATCACTTTGTGATCACACTTAAACCACTTTCAAATGTTTCCACTTTTAGTAACTTTCCAAATTCGAATTTTAAACTTGATAGGTGGATAAATAATTCAGCATTCTTTGGTGGCAAACAACTGTATTAATAATACCACTACTTTCTAGATTGGAAATTGTTAAGCATATTAATAATATTTAATATTAAGTTCAAAAAACCTCCCTAGTTCGGGTATAAATAGTGATGATGATATGAAAAAGGAGACAACACCTAGTGGTCCATTACAATTTCCAAATGGGCCAAAAACAAGATCAAGCGCCAAGAAGTTTTAAAAAGTTCTCAGTGGGTTGATCCAGCAAATGTGGGCTAATCATGAAGACATCAAGTCCAAATTTATTCATAATCAGAATTTAGTTAATGCCATCAATGTAAGGGAGGTTGAGTGTAATAATTAGCAATTTTCAATGTCATTAATGCTTAGTGGGGCTGATAGCATTTTCAATGTTATTAATTCTTAGTGGGGTTGATTCACATTTCCAATGTCATTAATGTTTAGTGGGTTGATTAGAGTCTTTTCCTTTTTTCAAGTTGTCAACTTTAAATTAGTGTCTTTTCATTTGTTGGTCTTTTCCTATTCTTGGAGGGATGTTCCAAGTATACATAAGGGAGGATACAA